GGAGTGGAATATTAAAAAAAAAAAAAGAAAGAAAATTAGACATCTGGCATCCCTACAAGTGGTTTTGTTCATATTTGGTGAAGATGAATATAGCATTCTATAGAGGCTCTCAATTTCCACTATCTTCACATCGATAGTTCTATCAATAGTTGACAGATTACAGTCCTAAATTACAGGAGTTAAGACATTTAACTTTGTTGAGCGTTAACTCCTTTGTGCTTAAGAGATAAAGACAAACACCCAGGATCTGCAGAACTCAAGATCTTAAGTATTGTTTCATCTATCTGTTTTGCACACCTACCTACAACTGCAACCACCTTATGCAAAAGTATGCGTTAAGTGTAAATATTCTCTCCCCAATTACCCAGCTGCAGAACTTATTAGAATGTTTATTATGAGGTTATTTCTGCCTAAATTAACTTCTACATGACAAAGACTAATTTATTCAATTTATTTATTCAGAAGCATCAAGTGCTTTTTGTAACAAAAATTCGATTCCTACAAAATCACAACCACCTTTAATGTAAGCCTGTCAGGTATAGCTTTTGAAGTTAATCAAGAAGCATCCCCAAAGTCCTCAATCACAGGAATAAGTCTAACTTCCTGGGCCTCTTTTTAAAGTTTTTGCCAGGATTGCTATTTGTTCAATAGGCAATCAAAATGAACACAATGAACAGATGCTTCCTTATAATCTCATTACTTCATGCCAATCCCAGCTTCTCATATAGGATCAGACTGATCAATGTAAAGTCCTGTAAAGTTCTGAAAAAAATTACCCCCCAAGAATAAAATGTACTACTACATACACTAGGATGGCAGAATTTCCTTCAGTGGAGTACAATTGTTGAGTCCACAACAGCGACAGAATATAAAGAAATGTGGGTCATACCTTTTTTCTCGTGGCTGCTTCAGCCTAAAAAGATGGGGAACTTACATCTCAATAAAGGATCCACACTTAACAGGTTTTTCACTCACAAGCCCAAAGTTATACAGGTTTAGCTCTTCATTCTATTAGTTCTACAATCTCTTACCCAAACTTGTGGAGGCAAATGTATTTGAAATTTAGAGTCATTTTCACTTTATAATATTAAAATATATGGTATATAGCCCCTGTATCATGTAACACCCTCAGCAAAGCCTATGGTAACTGTGTAACAAAACACCAATATTTCTGCAGAAGACCGCGTAGCGCCAGAAAGTGCAAAATGAAGGCATCAATTCTGGTCAGGTTTTACATTCAACAACAAATTTTGTTTTCAGAGTTTTTTGGATAAGAGATTGTGAACCTGTTTTCTGCCTTTGCACTCTATACCGGGATAAAACTAAGTGAAACCAAAGGATGGTTATGTAACAACAGAACTTCAGCCTAATAGCTTTTACTACTACTTATGATAAATACATATAACTTAATTTGTAATTTCAGTGCTTCATATACAAAGTGAAAAGACACAGTTCATCTACACAGAAAACTTGAAAAAAAAACCAAAAAAACCCCACGTCAGCCCTAATGAGCAAGATGTTTCAAAGATAAAACTGAGAAAGCTGAAATTCTAAATCTTATTCAACTTAAACACTATAATGAGTGTCCATGGGAACACTCAAAATTTATAAAAGTATAAAACTTAGGAGAAAAAACATTTTAAATGAGGAAAATGTTATACAAAATTTTAAAAAATTATTAAACAAAATTTTAAAATAAAATTCAGATCCCAAACAATTACAAATCAGAAAATGGGTTTCTTACCTTTTGTTTCCAGAAGGATGTGGGCTGAACAGCAAGGTGGGTTATTCAATCTGATGTTATGAAAAATAATTGCTTCTTAGAAAGACTTAAGAGTTTTTCCTTGGTTAGAAAATAACAAACTAATTATAGGTTCCCTACACTATTCTAAGGAGACACAAATAGGGAGAGAAAAGGGGAACAATACAGGGCAGCTTTTTTAGTTCTAAAACAATGTGACTGACTTTCTTCTAGTAGCTGCCAAAACAGGAGAGGTTTAGGACTCATTTCCTAAGACTGGAAAAAACAAAACAAAACAAAAACAACAAAGCCTACATCTCCCCTCACAGCTTCCAGTGGTCTGGACCCGCACCCCTCTATCTTTCATAAATATGCAGTTAAGTTCTCTCATCTTCAGACAGCCTATTTATGACACATTTCCCATCTCACTTCAATTCTGAGGTTGGAACTACTGTGATTTTTAGTAGAGTACATCTTTCAACTTAGGTTTAATGCACTCAATCTTGAGTGAAGGCATTTTCATCTTGGTCTGATTTCCAACACATTCAATGAACACAGGCTTAAGCCTAGCTCACATTAACCTTCCCAAAATTAGTTGTTTAAAATACTTATGTTCTACACATAAAACAGAACTTGTCAGTTTTAATAGTCAAAATCTTTCTACTTCTTGAACATTGGATTTTGAATTCTTGCATAAGAACTAGTAATTTTCTTAGTCTATACCAAGTTCTTTACTTAAAGAATCTGTTTTGAACTTAAGATCCCTTCCCTTCCTTCCTACATTCCACAAGGTTCATCTACATGTTTTGGTTAGGTGCCCTTATGCAAATCTCTCTCGGGGCCCATTTCCTCTACCACCAAGATCAGGTCTAGTTTTTTCTAGGTTTGAAATTATGTCACCTGCATAGTGGTCTTAAATTCAGCTTCCAACTCTGATTAGCATCCAAGGCAAATGTTAAGATTTAGTTATTTCTTTTGGGTGCAAAAAATGTGTTTTGATGGTTTTTGACTAGCTATGAGGAAATCAAAAGAAAAAGATTAGGGATTTTAACTAAAAATCTACTTCCCCAATTCACTGAAAATTTAGCACCAAGGGGCTGTCAAGTAAAAAGATACAAGAACTAGCAGACTAAGCTATAAATCACTGCTTTGGTAGGTTTTGGATACAGAATAATCTTATGGTTGACAAGGGTTCACAGGCAAAATTTTAAAGCCCAGCTTTTTATTAACAATAATTCACTCAAATATAAGCAGTTAATATTCTAGTGTAGTATTCACATTTCAAAACAAAGTAATTTGTTTCTGTGAATTGAACATTTAATACTTACCAATTTTTGAGAAGAGCTTGACAATCTCCAACACTATCCCCAAGTTAACATTAACTAGTCACTACCCAAATTTTGCACAAAAACCTATGCTGTCTAGATTATCACCAAAAAATAAACATCTATAAATTTCTAGTCATTTTTGTCAAAGTACGGGAAACTTATCTTTCAGAAACTAGATCATCCCATTTACCATATCATATACACCAAATTCCTTCTTATCTCCCTGAAGACTTTTACAATTAACATTAAGAGATGGCTAATACCATTTATTAGAGATTACCTTTCAAGAAGCTTTAATTTACTAATACATAACACAAGAATCAGTATCTTATCAAACTATTAACGGATAGTCACCCACTTAAAATTTTACATGAAGAGGAAAAAGGACAACCATGCATAGTTTTTTAAAAAATGTTTATTTTTTTTCAAAGAAAAACGGCAATAGCCAATTGGAAACCTACTTATTCTTCAACTCCAATTTTGTTCTTTAAATTTAGAAGTGACTTACTGATTTACTATTTTAAACAAACCCCCCCTTTCCCCTTTAAATGTTTACCATCTACTCGTGCTGAATCCTTCCAAGGAGATTGCTCCAGCGTATTATCTCCAGGTCCTCGCTTTGCTCCTTTTACCAAAAAATGCAAAACACAATTCCATCGTGCATCTTAAGGGCTCCAATCGTCAAAAATAGGAAAAAAAAAATCTTTGGAATAGCCAATTAAGTTGAATAAAAAAAAAAAAATCCACACGAATGCGGTTTGGTTGGGGCAGGAATCCACTCCTATGTTCCTGGTAATCTGATCCCGCTCCATGAATCCTTGTAATTCATCCTCCCTATCCTATCCACATTATGATTTGAATCCAATGATCCAGCTCCAAGGATTGGGATCCAGTGAGCCCTCTCCAATCCAAACCTTTATAACCAGCAAAACCAAAAAAGAGGAGGCAAAATGTTAGATACTGTAATCAAAAAAGGTTTCTGGGGAATGATGAGTTATGTCTGTCATCAGTTTAACAGATGTACATCAATAACTATCAAATTCCCCAAAACAAGTTTCTGAATGGTGTTCAGATAAATTTTAGAAACTTAATCATCATAGAGACTAATTGGAAGAAGCATTTTATATTTACAGTTCAACTGATAATGCCAACACTTGTTACTGTACAGCGTATTACAGGTTTTGTGGTTGCAAAAAGTTATGTAGTTGAAAAGTTTACTGGTATTGCTACCCACCCTAAGTCTAAACTAAACCTAATGCTCCCATCTGCAATTTAATTTGTAAATTAAAGTGTTTTAAACGAGTCAATTATGAACATTAGTTAAAAGGGGAAGGTGAGACTTAAAAAGTATTCCCAACTAGATTATCTACACCAATACATTGGAATTCTCTATTTTGCTTTCATTTTGTCTTAAAAAAATGAAATAGCAACGCTATATCAGTCACACAGAGGACATGCAGATTTAGCAGTATTGATATTATACTCTATCTGGTTGGAATTAAAGACACCCTGTACCCACATGTACACCAACAGCAGGTCACACATTAACAGTTGTAACTAAGCACTGTGACAAATTAGCCAGTTCTTCCCACATTAGTCCCTATTAAAACAAAAAAGGGGGGAAGGGAGCAAAATAAATTGTTACAAAATGGGCAATGTAACATTTGCCACAATTGCCAAGGTTTAAAGAGCAAAGCAATTGTAGCTAAAGATAACTGCATAAGATGTTTGCAAGTGTTTTAAGGTAGATGTATATAATCACTTTAAACCCTTGCCTTTTAGTATAAGGTCAATACTGCCAATTTCATCTGTGACAATAGCACTTGGAGTCATACCATTGCCTCCATTATTGATCTGATCCTCCTCAATCCTCCTTTTGACAATCCTAAAATGATTGAAATGTGCTCCACAATCCTTAATCCAAAGCATTCTTAATCCATCTCTTCAGATATGTCTACAGAAAGACACATGAAAAGCAAGATAAACATAAGAACTTCCCCAGGTAAGATAACCACAAACACCCCCCAACATCCCCAGTTCACACAAACCAGAGCAGAATAGACATTTACACAATATCACAGTCTGAAGAGCATGGAGAGTTAACTAAATTTAAACAATCCTGTCTATGACATCACTTAAAATACATTTTATCAGACATGAGGGGAATGTAGATGTTAGGAGCAAGGGGATATTACACAAGAATGCAATTCAACACTTTAGCCCATTCTGAACAAAACAGTTTGAATTAAAAAATGAAAAGATTGTACTGAGTAAAGGAAAACTGTATACAACATGGGTTCTACAAAAAGTGTCACCAATCATCTTATGTACGAGAGCGAGATCTGCTATGACGGGGAGAATAGCGTGGTGATCCTCTGCTTCTCCTTGGGGAATAACTGCGACTCCTGCTGTTGCTTCTGCTACGGCTTCTGCTACGACTACGGCTTCGAGATCGTGATCTTCCATAACTTGGACTTCTGGGCCCATCAACTTTAACCCGGATGTAGGCAGTTTCTCCCTATTGAATAGACAGAACTTTCGATTGAAAGATCTAAGCTTTCACCTGTCTTCAGGCATGCTGAACGAATACAATGTAACTAAAACCAGAAATCTGGTACTTTACTTGGACACCCTTGCCTGAATCTTACCTTCAAATTCCACTGTTAAGACCACTGTATCCAATTCTGGCCAAAGAAAAGAGTAAGTGTAAAAAACCTACCTCATGGGATCTAAACTTAGTGTTATCCAGTTTTCGAACTGCATAGGTCATATCTTCTTTCCGTACAAACTCCACGACACCAGTGCCATCTCGGTAAACATCAGCATAACATACATCACCTGCTTCACGCATGTGATCCTTCAGATCCTGCCAGCTTCCACTTGGAGGCAGTCCTAAAAAGGTATTTTTTCAACACCACTCACTCTATATTTCACATTAAACTTGAAATTTACACTAGAACAAAAACTACTTTAAAATTAATTAGACTCAAGATCCTAGGTTAAGAGCTGCTAAGATCCTGGAATCCAGAGTCCAAACTTACTTGCAAAGCAAAGATCTTCATATTCTAGGTACTCAACCTAATAGTAAATAACTACGTGGTAACAGGTATATCTCCACTACAGTGTTCCTTGTTACTAAATTTAGCCGAGCAACTAATTTAAGACCTATCACAAAAACTTGCATTTGTCAACACTGCTCACGCAAGGAAAAACTTAAAAGTGGTTTCTGTCCCTTCTCAACAACCCACACGAACAGTAAACTCACCAGAGACAACCACTCTGTTTTCAGAACGCCTGGATGGGGGGCCATAGCGGCCTCGGGGAGCCCCGCCACCTCCACCCCCGCCGCCGCCTCGGCCGGTGCCACGGCCGCTTCGAGGAAACTCCACCCGCAGACGGTATCCATCGTAATCATAGCCGTCGCGACCATATACCGCGTCTTCCGCGTCTCTGCGTGATCATAGAAAGCAAAAGGCGTAAGAAAAAGGACCGGGAGGGGCAGCTAAGTCAGTCGGGAACTAGCGGCCCCCCGCACATGCGCACCCAGCATGGAAGAGCCCACATGCGCTGCATAATAGGAATGGCCCCTCCCCCACCCAGAAGCACGCCAGGTTCCCGACCACTACACCAGCCCTCAGCGCCTCAGTTTCCCGCTCCGAGACCGAAAGTCCGCTCTGGGGACGTCCATGGGCCCAGTCACCAGAGAAGCCACAGCGACTCGGCTCCTTACTCGACTCCTGCATGGGCGACATCGTCTTACCCCCAACCTAAGAGCCCACCTCCCCATTCTTTGTATCAAGGCCTTTCCCGACTACTCCCAACTTATTGCCTCAAAGCCGCAAGCCCCGGGCCGCCTCACCGAGGGTCCTCGAACTCAACGAAGGCGAAGGGCGGTCCTCCGCGGCGATTCTTGAGATCGATGTCACGGATAGCACCGTATTTGTAGAACACGTCCTCAATGTCCTTGGTTCGGATGTCTGGAGGTAAGTTACCCACGTAGATGCGGCAATCGTTGTTCCCTGCCGGGCCACGAATCACACCACCTCCCGACATGGCGGCGACGAAAAGCGCGGACTCGAGAACAGGCCTTCCCACCAAGCCTAGCGCACGGCAGAGCGAGCCCGCAGCGACACCACGTCTCCCGCGGCCCCTCCAAAATGGCGCCTTTATCAGCTCGGCGCACGGATATGGGGGGAGGGAGGAAGAGAAGCGGGAGGAAGCAGCTATTCGATCTCAGTACGCACGCGCAAGAGCGTAATGGGCACTGCGATAGGTACGCTCACGCACGTGCGACGTCACCCTCCGCGCGAAGGGAGAAAAAAGTTCCCCGCCTTCCCGATTTGCGGAGTGCCTTGCCAGTGAAGTGACCAGTCGTTTGGTAAGAATTAAACACAGATCCATCGGTAAACGGGCTACTAATCCCTGACGAGTCTTAAAGGATAGTCAACTTTCCCAGGAACGAGTCCCTTTTAAAAACAAGTCCGCGCCTTGAAAGCCTTTGGTGAAACCTAGCCTTGAGCTGTGTCCCACAATGCTCTGCGGCGTTAACGGCCTTTGGCGGGAAAGACTGCCGGGGGCGGAGTTAAAGGGGAAGGGACCTGGCCGTTGCTCCGGAAACGCGGACATTCTCGGACAGTGCGGCTAGTCCAGGAGTTCCGCTGCTTGTGATTCAGGCTTGTGATTCAATCAGGAGCCGAGGCTTGACTTTGTATTCCCGCCCCTTTGCCTGCGCTCAGGCGGTGAGCTGCTTAGAGAAGGGTCTAATTTAGGGCAACCCAGCTTAGACTCCTTGGTAAATACTTTGCACCAAGTACCGTTCCATCGTCGGTTTAAAACTTAACTTTGTATGGCTCAATCCAGCACACCTTGATGTAGTGGCGGTGGTTTGAGCTGTATTCAGTCAGCCAGGACTCAGACCTCAGCTTCTCTTTAATTGCCTAGCCCTACCGCAGAGGAGAGGTCCAGTGAAGGCTTGAAGAGTGACGTGCCTGTTATGTATCCAGCCCTTTGAAAGAACGAGAAAAGCGTGTGTGTGTATGCAAAATCTTGAAGTTTGTTCCCTTTTATGAACTCCTTCCGGGTCTCTCAGGTAATATAAACGAGCAAAATGGATGTGTGAGAACTGTGACCACTGGAGACCACTGTTGCTGCTCAGGACTGAGCCCTCTTGCCTGCTGGCCCAGGGAGTTAGGAAGTTGTTTAGAGAGACCTCTGAAGTCTGGATTTTTATGTGAAGTGTTGGGATTTTAAAATATTAGTAATGAGTTCAATTTTTAAGAAAACTCTGCAGTCATAAATATGCTAAAACATCTGCACCCTGTGTTTAAGGATGATTTTCTTCATATTCTGTATTTGTTTGCAACAGTTCCCAAGGATGTGTGTGAGGCAATTTACGGAGATACCATAAAACATTATTAGAACTGGACCAAGAACTCAGGGCGAATGGGAAAATAAGCAGGGAGGGATTAAGGTGAAATCAGGGTGAGGTTACTACACAAAATGCCAGCAGTAATATCCTGATCGGTTCCTAAAGATGCACTGCAAGTCTCACTCCGCTCATTCCGGAAGTCATGGTAAAGAAGGCAACACAAGTCTATTCAAAAGTCTAAATGCCTTTGAAATTAGAAAATAAATAGGTTGTTTAGGAGAATGGCATGTTTTCTTAGTTCTAAAAGTTGACAGCCCATTTAACAAACGTCTGAGTGATCCCAAAATACAAATTCAATTTGATCCTCAACGGACACATAGAGGATCTCTGGTTGTGTTTGAACTCTCTGTGATGGTTACCAAAATTATGTGTATATGTGCATGTACTTTTTCTTCAAAGAGGATTTGAAATTGTAATCAGATTCTTAAAGGGGTGTTTAGATTCTCACAGGGGGAAAAAATCTCTGAAAATGTTAGAGGGAAGGACAGATTATCTTTCAGACCATCCTTCACTGAGTATCCTTCAATGATATTTTTTGACAGTGAGCTTTTAATAAAAACAAAAGAACCTGATCATTTTTAAAATGAGAAGCTGACCAAAAAAGACACTATTTCGACAAATTGATTCAGTTTCTAGCCCTGTCCTATTCAGTTAGTAGCAGAAGAGATGAGAGTTTTTTAAAAAGTTGCAGGCATATCATGTATTGATTGGTTCATTCAATAGTTATTTAGTTAGCACACTTTATTATTTTATACCTCCACTTAAGAGTTATTCAAGTTCATCTGTTGAATAATGTTAATGATAACTGAAGTGATTTAAACATAGTTGCTTTTAATTTCAAGACATTTTTGTTCCAGAAAAATAAGAAAATTGTGGATTGGCTTTGATTTATTCTTGTCCAATTTAATGCAGTCATTTCTGATTTTGTTCAGTTCAGAGGAATACAAGTAGAAATTTTTTTAATTTTAAAAAATTTTATTTATTTTTGAGAGACACGGAGTGTGAGTGGGGGAGGGGCAGACAGAGAGGGAGACACAGAATCCGAAGCAGGCTCCAAGCTCCGAGCTGTCAGCACAGAGCCCAACGCGGGGCCGAACCCACAAACGGTGAGACATGACCCCAGCCGAACATGACCCTGATACTTAACCGAAGGAGCCAGCCCAGGCGCCCCATGTAGAATTTAATATAGAGTGAATAAGACATTCTTGTTCCTCTGTTGGCTCCTTTTATTGTATTTGAACGTAACTAAATTATAGGCTCTGGGGTCCATGATGAGTTCAGGATGTAGCAGTAAAAGTCTGGCCGTTTATCGAGATTTCCCAGGATGACATTAGTTTGGTGATTATTACAGTTCCGGGTGTGATAGTAATATCAATGTCCCAGAGTTGATTAACATATTTTAGTCCACAAGAGCAAAAACTAAGAAAATAAACCAAGTCATTTGTTCATTTGTTGGGGACAGATTAATTTTTGGTAGCCAGGATGCTCAAATTATACAAACCAAAGATAACTGTTTTGGCGGGTCTGGAAAGCATATCAGACAGTTGCTTAGTAAATGAGGAATCAAAGCAAAATGAGGCGAATTGTTTTGAGAGATTTCATTGAGACAATGGTGAGGCCTGAAAAAATGACCCCTGCCCCATCTCAGAGTATACCTCTTCAAAGACAGGAAAACTCATACCCCCATGGGTTTTGTGGGTCTGTTCCCTGGACAATGCTGGGTAAAGATTGGCAATTCTCTTTCTGTAGGCTAATCTGCACATAAACTTTGTCTAAACAGTATACTAGACAATTGATTAGATTTCTGCGGACCAAATTACAGCCACTTCCACCTTGCCTCCTGAGATTATATCCTCATCTTTTTTGTTTGTTTGTTTGTTTTCAAGTAGGCTTCATGCCCAGCGCAGAGCCCAGTGTGGGGCTTGAACTCAGGACCCTGAGATCATGGTCTGAGCTGAGATCAAGAGTTGGGCCACCCAGCACTCCCATCTTCATCTTAATTAAGGATTCAGAGTGTTTGTAAACTCCTCACTTACACATTCACTGGCGGTTTTATGGATTGCTCCCACAACCAACTAATCTACTAAGTATAGATTTTACTAGCTTAATTCTCAGAAATTGCCTTATTTTCAGCACTGTCGCTATTTATGAAAACTTCCTCAAAAAATTTTCAAGCCTTTTGATTCAATTTAGTAAGTATATACTAGTGTCAGCACTATATTTTATCCTGGAAATAATTACTTGAAAAAAAAAATTCAAAGAGTTAATTACCATGAAAGTTGAAATTACAAGACGCGGGTTTTCAGTGATTTGCCAAACACTTAAATCTCTATACCTGTGGTGATAGTTATGAAACTCTGTAAACATACTAGAAATAATTGAATTGTACACAAAGCGAATGAATTGTATAGTATGTAAATTATAACTCAATAAAATTGTGTTTTTTAAATACCATTTTTAGTTTTTTAGTACCATTTCTCTAAGGGCATTGGGGATTAGGAGTGTTCTAGAGTAATTTGCACTGAAATACGTCTTTCCAAATCTGGAAATCCTGTTTTCCATACACACGTGTCAATCCCTACTGTCTTCCTTGGGGATAACTGTCATTTTTCTGGGCGAAGAGACCCAAAGATTAGGAGCACTTGATTCTGCTGTGTATAGGAGTTCCCTCCAGGAACAGTTCATTTGCATGACTCTATTCCCTTGTTCTGCTTGTTTCAGTGATAAAAATATTCTCTGAAAAAGGAAGAAATAGCATATATCTTTTTATTTTATTTATATTTGTCTCCTCTTTAATAAACTATATTGAGGACAGATTTCTACTATAACTTCCTACCAGTAAAATCTGTTAAAATGAATATTACTGACCATTTGCTGACTGCTTTTTGAAAGAGGTGGGGCATTAGATGAGCAGAATTAGATGAGAAGGTTTCTTTGGAAACCTCGTCATGTTGCTACCAGTGGGTAGATACAATGGGTACAAGCATTATTTTTCATTTCACAACATAATAATGATGGCCACTTTACAGGCCCAAATAAGTCATCTAATAATACAGTCTTGGTAATCTTATTTTTTTTTCAACATTTATTTATTTTTGGGACAGAGAGACAGAGCATGAACGGGGGAGGGGCAGAGAGAGAGGGAGACACAGAATCGGAAACAGGCTCCAGGCTCGGAGCCATCAGCCCAGAGCCTGACGCGGGGCTCGAACTCACGGACCGCGAGATCGTGACCTGGCTGAAGTCGGACGCTTAACCGACTGCGCCACCCAGGCGCCCCGGTAATCTTATTTTTTAAAAAAAATTGTTTACTTTTTATTATTTTTGAGAGACAGAGACAGAATGCAAGCTGGGGAGGAGCAAAGAGAGAGGGAGAACAGAATCTGAAGGAGGCTCCAGGCTCTGAGCTGTCAGCACAGAGCCCAACATGGGGCTTCAACTCATGAGCCATGAGATCTTGACCTGAGCCAAAGTCTGATGCTTAACTGATTGAGCCACCCAGGTGCCCCTTGGTAATCTTATTTTAGGACTGGCTTTCCTTATTCTTTGATTCTTCTTGTTTTGTTTTTGGCTAATTCTTCCCATCTTTAAGGTCCCAATATTAATAACAATAGAATATGATTTT